ACTCAGGCACCGAACCATGGTTGCGCGACAGAATCTCTCGATAGGCGCTGGTTCAGAAGGCTGTGGCGGAGTATCATAAGTATTTAATATGCTCTTTAATATGGTGGTAGAAATGTCCGATCAGAATTTAATAAAGTGTAACTTATAGCGCCTCGAAAGTCAAGGAAGAAAAGTGTCTTTTTTTTGCCCCTCCACCTGTGCTCTCTTCCCATGTCTACTCTTGCTCGCGAGGAGAACGAGTGCAAATCTCCTGAGTGAGAGATGGGGTCGCATAGGTCCCCTGGACCACGGTCGCGAAGAGTGAATGCGCGGCAGAGCATCAGAAGAGAGTGCACTGTTTAATAGAAAGCTGAGAACGATGGCTATCGCTTTACAGTAGTAATGATGACCCGATTTCTTCGATCAGATGACTTATCAAAATGCTCTCCGCCAAGCGATCTCCCTTATGAACACTCAGAGAAATGTGCGCTTGGGAGCGTTACGAGCCACCAGGTAGACTCATTTCCCCATCGTAACCCTCTGAACCTGACATGAAAGTGTTCGAGTGAGCTAGTGCCCTCGTCTCTGCACCCTCCTATTTTTTTTGTCGCGTGGCCTCCTGTTCAAGCTCCAGTATTTCTTCATCATTCGCTCGTGTTGTGTACAGAAGGGACTACAAAAAAAGGCTCTACTCGGATGTTTTTGAGGACTTTGTCAACCTTTCATTTTAGCTATTCTTCTCGGCGTGGGAGGGCAGCACGAACTTCCGTTTTTGACCCCACTATGACATTACTATCATAGAACGCACTTTTAAGAAGAACTTGCACGCGTACCCGATAAGAGTGAACACTGTTGAAGAACATGAGTGGATCGAATTTCTTGAGAATCACAGAAGTGAAGCCCATTATGAGTGCGACGTTGAGACAAAGCAGTCCATACATGTTCGCAAACGAAGAGCACAAAAGAAGATTTTCTTGCGAACAGTCCCAATATCGTAGCACTTTTTTCGCAATACGGTCCAGATATCTGACATGGAGAATGTATGTAAGTGGAAAAGATATTCAGGAACAGAGTTAGGGCGTAGTGTGGGAAATTCACGTTGCGGGTGTGGGAAATTCACGTTGCGGCGGAAGCGACTGGATGTCATACCCGCGGCATTTAGCAGGACCTGATTGACTTAACGTTAAGTCATGATCCCTGCAAGCGATAGAGCGTATGGCGGGGCATGGCTTGGAGTGCAGCCGGACCAGATTTCTCATCAGCTACATCGGGCTCAGGATATTATCGTTGGTGGAAGAAGGGCGCCCTGGCCAACCCACTCCGCGTCACAGCCCCATCATTTGCACGGATCATGATTTCAAAATGCTGCAGGGTATGCGGGGGGTCAACCACAGTCTTATCACGTGAAGGACATTGGTTTTGGGTGCCTTCAGCCTGTTTTCATCAAATTCGTTGCGGCTTCGGCATTCAACGACTTGATTGGGATAAAGGGCTGGCCGCGCCAAAACCCACGCCTCGCTGGCACGCCCTGAAAATTCTGTGACTACTGCTAGGGAACATTCTTTCGAATTCTGTTGCAACGTGGATCTCTTGCATTGCACCTCGAATCAGGACAGTCCTCACCATGCCGAAACAGGGGGCGTGGCAGTGCGGCTGCTTTGGTGCGGTTTGGCAAAATCGTTCTGCACCGGTTTTTGAAGCGGGCAAGTGCATTACTGTATTATATCCTCACTCGTTCTCTACACTTTGTCGCATCGCGGAGAAAACGTTTCAAAAGTGGCGCACTCCTCCTGGCTGGCACGCCCCACCGGTCCGCAATGATGAGGACTGTAACTTAACTTACTTCTGATAGATATCAACAGCTGTGGAAACATTTTCATGGGTGAGCATGATTCCAGTAGCGGTTCCTCTGGTCGGAATATCCGTATAGGGAACAACTGCCAGATCACTAGAGAGCTGAAATTCAGAAACAACATCGACTTGCTACTGAAATTGCCTCTTGGAGTACCAAGATGCAACACTTAGCACAGTGGACAGGTGCGCTCGCTCCATTTGCACATTGCAAAGGATCGACACCGGCGCGCATCGTACGCTAAGGGTCTACAGAGTGGGATCGTAGGTGGACGATGAGGGAAGAGGTCGTAGTTGCATTTGTGAGAAATGGTTCCGGTGGTTGACTTTTCCCCGTTTCACGTGCGCTATTCTCCCCTCCCGCTCCTTTGCTAGACAGCAAATATTTTTTGAGGAAGAAGTGGAGTATCTCCAAAAAAAAATCGAGCGCGAAAATTGGTAGACAAGTGCGGAGAATCAGAAAGCGCGTAGGAAGGACGGAGGATGGGAACGAAGCGCTGCTGCACAGGTGTAGGGGATGCTGAGGGGGCGTCGTATCAGAGCGTGGAAATGTTTGTCGAGGTGCAAAACCTTCCACAACGGCATGTGCCTTTCTCTTATCGGACACCCCATCAGCGCTATTAAATGCAAGCTCAATTTTCTGAGACCATCCATTTCTCGTAGAGCGAAACGCTGTCCAAAAGATAGGGCAGCCTCCAAATGTCAACACCTCCACTGTATTCAGTCGTTCTTGTGAGTTCGAATGAAAGTGCAAGAGGCGGCGCACTCCAACTTCCCAGATCACGAAGGGCCTAACACTTCATTGTTTTGTCATCCCATTATGGCGGAAGAAGATATACCTGCTGTGACTCTCGCCCTCGTACACTGGTCCAGTTATCAAGCTTTTAAAGTCCACAACTCCTTCGGGTAAAGCTGCATTTGATGCCCACGACCTTGTACAGATGATTTTCTGGAATGGTGAATATTGGATTTCAGGTTTGAAGAACTTCTAGTCAAACCTTGACGCTGGCGCAATTATTTGCAGCCATCAGAACACGAGGTAGAATACTTTCTTCTGTGAACACAAGGCTGGCCTTAGAATCTTGCAACTGATGTTCTAGGTCGGCTGAAACCAAAGGATTTGGTCCTATTTCATGCACCTTTATGGAACCTGGAGCGCTGGACAAACCTTGCGAGATGGATGGGTTGGCGCTGGTGATGATTCCTCCACACTTCAACACTCCCAAATGGGAAACAGCGAACGCAGTCGAGTTGGACATTACGAAGCAGGCGACGTTGCCGCTTTCGAATCCACTGAATTGACACTAACTCCAATATAGTCAGATGTTCGATGATTGCGAGACCTGTCCCCAGGACTATTTCACCGGAAGACGGTCCAATTATCGTCCTGACGACAACCTAAATCTGCTTAATTTCAAACTCACTTTTTTGAAAGGTACGAAGCGGTAGCTTCAATTTGGTACAACAAGGCTTTGAACGTAAGGTTCTCTTCCTCGCTGTCAGAGCTTATCTGGAAAATAAACGTGCAGTAAAGCCTCAGAGTATGAACGCTTCTGAAGAAAAGCATAGCATTCTACGAATGCTCCTATTCCAGATACTGCACTCATAAGACATTTATGGTTGTTACTTGTAAGAAATTTATGGTTGTTTGTTCAAAGAAGTTGTTTTGCAACTTTTCCAGACAGTCTATAAGATAGTCTGCTCCAGCCTAGAATAC